ACAGGGTTGCGTTTCCCGTCTTTCTTACGCTGTTCTGAAGAAAATTGTAGGATGAATTGCATTCCGCCCCCCACCCCCGTCTCCCGCTCTCCCGCTTTCCCCTCATCCGACGTTTACATCAGTTGTTCAGCTCATAAGCTGGCAGTACTGTTTAACCACAGCGACTAAAAAAATTTTGAAAGATTGCGGCATATCCGAAGTCAGACTTGTAGATATCTCGAATGTAGCAAACATAGAAATCCACTTAAAAAACACTACTGTACGCTGTGAACATGAAGTTACGCATTGCCACATATGCCTGAGAAAAGGATTCTGGAATGGATTTGAGCAGTTTTCAGGAGAAACTATTGATCCGGTACTTCAGGAAAAGCATCGTATGGGTGAGCAGTTGAAGACGAAAGGTACTGCTGCTCAGCGTCCATCCGTGAGCTCTTCAAACTCTGCGGACGCCCAGTATTGGCATGGCAAAACATAGATTATTAAAAAACAAAATGATCTGACTTCTCTTTTCTAAACGCCTCTTGACGCCTTTTCATTGCTGGTTGTGAGGCGAGCTATTTGAAGCTATGTCCCTGCATAAAAATGGATTCACATATTTTGTCATTGCAATACTTTCGCTTGCTCGTTTTTCTGTTATTGCTTTCTCTGTGCCTCACTGGTAATTAAGTTACAGGTTTCGCGTTTCCTCCTGGCACATGCTTTGATGGAAACGAGCTAGAAGAGCCTTTTTTGGCAAAAAAAAGCATCAAACTTTTGAAGCCAAGACTAAAATCAACGCTTAACAAACGATAAAAAAAGTACCAAACTTTTGAAGCCAAGACTTAAATTGAGGCTTAACAACAAGGATATTTGACATAGGACGCACTTGAGTCAGAAATTTCTTCTTCTGTCCATGACATTTTTGCGCCTCAGGGCAGCAGCAGAAGCATGCACGTGGCGCCACTGATGTATATTTTTGGTCCGAAAAAGCGCAAAATTATCCTGATTTTTTTTTTTTCGTTCGACTGGTAGCATCAGTTGACTACTTTTTTTGCGCTTTTTCTGTGCTAAACTTATTGCCCAAGTATGTCTTTGCCTAGTTCGATTCCATCCCAGCATTGCTGTTGCTCAATCAGAAACATTTGGTCCGTATTCTCCATGTAGCCTTTCTATTTTAGTCCAGTAGTTTCTTGTGTAAAAAGTCGGTGAGCAAAGCGGTTGCGACGAAGTTCTACGTTTCGGAGCGATTTAGGCCAGTGACTGGTGCTTTGTCGGTTCCTCGACCTGCTTGAAATGACTACTTTTTGGCTGAGCCTTCATGGCCCTTTCTTTCTTTTCTGTTTCAATTCGTCTGATTAAAATTATGCCTTTTCTTTTCTCGTAATAGCCAGCAAATCATTTAACGGATGCAAATAGGGCAGTTGAAGGATCTGATCTTATCCTGATCTGGGGGAAAGTGGGAAGTAATGAGTCGGTGAAAAGTGCGCACTCTCGTTTTTAGGGGTAAAATTCTTTGAGAAAAAAACCCAAAGCATTCGCCCTGCCGCCGGCAAAATCCTAAAGCAGACCATGCCAAATAAGCCTCTACTTAACGAGAAAGCAGGCGCTGACATGAACCACCCACTGACCCTAAATGCAGCCATTGGGCGCCAAGCGTCTCCTGCGGCTAACGAAACCCGGTTTTTTAATGTGTTTTGGCGACAGTATG